ATTCCTAGTGTTGATGTCATTCCTGAGCAGAAGATCATAAAACATTCATATATCGTGACGGATCTTAATAAGGTGCTTAGAAGGTTCTCGAATTTCAATAAATTACTTCGAACATTCTCTTATTGTTTAAGATTTATGCAAAATTGCAGGGCTTCTAAAAGAGGGGAACCACCTAGAAGAGGTCCATTAACGGTACAGGAGCTTGATAAAGCATGGACAGTGGTAATCGCATTAGTTCAACGTGAAGTTTTTGGTGCTGAAATTAAGGCCATAGAAGGGGGATGCGGGCTGGATAGACGAAGTAGAATTTTGTCTCTTAATCCGTTTTTGGACAAGGATGGGCTATTAAGGGTAGGAGGTCGGCTAGCCAAGGCTAATCTTAGTTATAATCAGCGGTTTCCGGTAATACTTCCAAATAAACACGACGTCACGCGGTTAATCATTCTATGTGAGCACTACAAGCATTTACATGCAGGTCCGCAGGCGCTTTTAGCAGTAATGCGTCTCAAATACTGGCCCATATTAGGTCGTCAAACAATAAGAAGTGTTTTATCGCGTTGTATTGTATGTTTTAGGGCAAAACCAAAGGATTTTAGGCAATACATGGGGGAGTTACCAAGCAGTCGTATTGTTCCAAGTCGGCCATTCGAAAATTGTGGGGTTGATTACGCAGGGCCATTTTTTGTTAAATCAGGCACAGTTAGAAAACCTGTTATTACCAAGGCGTATTTATGCGTCTTTATATGCTTCGCGACTAAGGCGGTCCACCTAGAATTGGTCGTTGATCTAACGACCCAAGCTTTTCTTAACTGCTTTAAGAGGTTCATCGCACGTAGGGGACTTTGTAGGAATGTGTACTCCGACAATGCGACAAATTTTATAGGGGCTAATAATGAACTTACGGAACTTAGTCGATTTTTACAGGATAAGGGTAACCAGGAGGTTTTCTCACAGTACTTTACAAATTCATTTATAAAATGGCATTTCATTCCACCGCGTTCGCCGCACTTTGGGGGTTTGTGGGAGTCTGCGGTGAAATCCGCAAAGTACCATCTAAAGAGGGTTTTAAATGATCAGAAGTTGACGTTTGAAGAGTTGTATACAGTGATAACCCAAGTGGAGGCATGTCTGAATTCCCGGCCAATTACTCCTGTAAGTGAATCTGCGGATGATTTGGAAATTTTAACGCCAGGTCATTTTTTAATGGGTAGCTCACCCTCTGCTCTACCTCAAGAAGATATAAAAGGTCATAATCCAAATCGCTTACAAAGGTATAAGTTATTGACTCAGTTTATCCAAAGTTTTTGGAAACGATGGCAAACGGAGTATTTGGGTAACTTGCAACAGCGATCTAAGTGGCGCATAAGAGCGGACTCTATAAAGATTAATGACATGGTGTTGGTGAAAGAAGATAACACTCCGCCCATGAAATGGCAGTTAGGACGAGTAGTGGAGTTACACACGGGTAGTGACGGGATATGTCGTGTTGTGTCGCTTAAAACCGCGAGTGGTTTAATAAAGAGGTCTACTTCTCGTGTATGTGTTCTACCATTTGAAGGCAGTAATTAATAAGAATTTTAGGAACATTAAGGATTTAGTGTTTAAAATAGATTTTAGGAATTAGGGTTAAGGTTTTTGAAAGACAAGCTTTCAAGGGGGGCGGCATGTTGGGTTTTTGAAAGCCGTACGACGTACGATGCGTACAAGGCCTTAGCGCAGGACCTTGATCGCCGCCGGCGGGGAGCGCGTCGCTGGCAGAAGGCAGAAGTCACGTAGGCCCACAGCGCAGCCGAAAAGCTTACAAAAACTTAGTATTGCCTGGTGTTTAAGGGGGAGTGCATCGCACTACCATGTTTCTGTTGACGTGTTATTCAGTAAATTAGAAATAAAGACCATATTGACAAAGACACTCGATTTATTGGCTGTAGCTGTATATAAAAGGTAAACAACATTGAAAAAGACGCTCCAGTAGTGTATATTAAAAATGTATTTTATGAGTATATGTTTTGTAATAATATACTTAAAACTATCTTAAAAGCCAAACGAATAATTAATATAAGTGTATCCGACAAGAAAAGAAAAATAGAAAGAAACTATTATAAACTCTACACTCCATAATTATAAACCAGAAAAAGAATGGGATGCCAATTAAAGTCTTTCTGAATCTGGCAACTGTGCATATTTACCCGAGCTTCAAGGCCGTCGATCCGCATCGATCCAAAACCGAAAGTTCAACATTTCCAATTATATTCTGATTATGATATTGTCGCGCCATCTAGTATTTTATTTGTGCAATTTTAGCTCTGCCATTTCGAGTATCTTTCTGTTGCGTAGCTAGATATTCTGTGGTAGATAGTATTAAGAACCAAACTTCACTTAATCTGCAGGCTGCAGGAATATAATTACAATATTTTTATTATTTAATTTTATTATAACGAATTAGTATATAAAATTTGATATGTTATGATTGTTTACGGCCTTAATTGATTAATATAATAGTAGTATTGTATAATATTGGTAACATCATCAAAATATATCGAGTTGATTGAACGAATAATTTCTGAAGCAACGATAATATTAGGATAATATTATAATTATTATATAAAATATTATATTATTAAATTTTTCTTCGAAAAAATGATGATAAAATAGTTTCTGTTGAACTTTTGGCACAAAAACATTTCAAATTTATGATTTCAGTCTAATAACTATATACTCAACGTGTTTAATTTATGTCAATGATGACAGGTATTGATAATTTCGATTCCAAATATCTCCAGAAATATTACTCAATGAATTTCACCAAGAGACTTTTTTACGTAGAAAACGTAAATGTATATTTTTCACTTAATAGTTTGACACCCTTAAAATGAAACTTCGACATCCTGTATCTGCGAACCTAAGCATTTTAGGACGAACGATCGATTTTACGAACTTTTTTTACCTATTTTTATGTGTAGAATATGCTGCTGAAGTTATCGGAATACAGTTGGGACCACCCTGTAGGTTACATTACACTCCATTACAAACTAATGATATTTATTCATACTCCTTGTTTAGTTATTTTTCTGAAGCCACCACAAAGTTTGCCCTTGACTGTTTCGCGAAGTAGTACGAAGAATGTATGCGTGCTATAAAAATTTTGTATAAACTGATCGAAACGTTTTTTGAAACATTTCCCGACACAATTGCAATAATAATAAAAAACAAACAGACAATCACGGTTTCTCTCGGTCGATTTCGATCTGTTTCGGAATTTACAGCCATGCCAAGCCAATATTCCCCGCCTCTAAATGCTTCGCGAAATATTTCGTGAAACATTTCGGGCATAGTGTAGCGGGTGTTTAATAGTTATTAATGATATTAGTTCGATACGAACATCATAATGAAACGCGTGTAACGTTACGGCTTAGTTGCACAAGTTTCATTAAAAAGTTCGTATCGAACGTGTATTATTCAAAATTTAATCTACGACGCGACACGAGAGACGACCCAAAAAGATTTGATTTAATTTAAAATATCAGAGATATCCTCATAAAAATTAAAATTCAAAATTATCAGATGCCCATATTAGTCGACGCCGTGGTAACAGTGCTTGTTGATTGTTTCCATTTTGACTTTGACAACTCAATTATTGATGTTCAATTTTGTGTTAAACGTTCAGTTTTAGCAAAAAGCAAAAAATAATATTAATATGGGTGATTCTGATTCTGAAAGTGTGCCTTCGGATATTGAAGGCATTGCGCAAAACGTTGTCGATTCCCTACTTCCCGAAAAATCAAGACAAACGTACGAGCAAGCCTATGTAAAACTTGAAGATTGGTGTAAAGGGAAAGGAATCAAGAATAGTAGTAACGAAAAGGTTCTCCTGGCATGTTTTGAATATCTTTCAAAACATAGAAAGGCTTCATCACTTTGGGTATATTATTCCATGCTACGTTCAGTTATATCAGTGAAGAAAACACAGATATTAGTAAGTACGTCCATTTAATTGCATTTCTAAAAAGAAAATCGGACGGATTTCGGTCAAAAAAATCGAGGATTTTAAGAAAAGAAGACATAACTCGTTTTTTGTTGGAAGCCGATGATAAAACTTATTTCCTGACAAAAGTATTATTGATAGTGGGACTTGCGGGAGCCTGCCGGCGTATCGAGTTGATAAATCTGCAGCTGCAAAATGTTAAAGATAAAGGACAATGCATTCATGTCATTATTCCATTTACGAAAACAAAGATATCACGAGATTTTTTTTATAACGAAAGGGAATGTTGAAGGAATAAATATGGTGGAAATGGTTCGAAGATATATAGCTATGCGGCCAAGCAACACAGAGCATACTCGATTTTTTGTGGGGTACAGAAATAGAAAACGTATTAAGCAACCCGTTGGCATTAATACTTTAGTGAAAATGCCGTATAAAATAGCATTGTTCCTAATTCTTCCAAATCCATAACAATACACTGGACATTGTTTCCGTAGATCGTCTGCGTCGTTGCTTGCAGATTCAGGAGTGGATTTATTAACTGTTAAAAGACATGGTGGTTGGCGCTCTAACACAGTGGCAGAGAGCTATATAGAAAATTCCAAAGAAAATAAGAAAAAAGTGTCATGTAATATTTTGGGTAACATTTCTGGCAATGATGGGTCTTCAACAAGTTCAAGCACTCTGGAAATAAATTTACTTTCTAAAAATTCAACTCACCTGTCATCGTCTGGAATTCATTTAACCAATTGTACTGATATTATAATTAATGTTTACAATAAATAAACGTATTTAGGTACCTTTTTTGCTTGTTTCTTATTTTAAAATTTGCGTGTTATCATGGCGTGTTATTATGAATTCATAATAGCACTAGTGCTATTATGAAAGCCATAATGACATCCAAGTGACAAAGTTAAATGTGTCATAATGACATTGTCGTAGATTAAAGATATAACGATTTAAAATTATTCTTTATTACTTTGACATAATGTGATTCGACATTTTTTTTCAATTTCAGTGAGGAGACTAACAGCTAAATGGAGAAACATCAGAGACACATACGTAAAAAGTGAAAAAAAGCGAGTTCGCGGTTGCCTGAAAACACGAAAATACGTTTATGCGAACAAGCTTTCATTCTTACAACCGTTCCTCGACTTGTCTGGTTCCAAGTCTAGATCAATCATTAAATCTGAAGATGAATCGACCAACATGGACGGGTCGTCCGCAGACAGCGCTGAAGTTGAGGACGATCAAAGAATGACAGAAGTTGAAATCAATCAGCAAGCTTCGAGCACAAAATACAGCGCGTCTTCCACTACTCAGGAGCAGCCTCAGGAGCAGTACAGAAGAGAAAGCGTCATTTCGGACTACTTTAGTACACCAATTGAATTTCAACCAATCGATGATGATAAAGCTTTCTTCGATTCGCTACTTCCCACAGTACGAACGTTCACAATTGATGAAAAATTAGAGTTTCGTTTAGAAGTGCTGAATATTTCAAAAAGAATCAGACGTAATCAGCAGTAAGGTCTATTAGTGTGAGGCTGGTGAATATGCAACCAAGAATACATGGGTCCTAATGAAATTACTCAAAAAATATGTTTATATCAATGACGAAAGAATACAAGGACTAATAACAGCCGAGACCAAATTGTTACCATACCACGAAACAGTGCCGTGGCACATATTTTTCTTAACTTAGTTGCTTGAAGAGAAATTTATATTTTTGATAAACTACACACTACACACAAACTATAAAAAATCGCTAAAATTGTAGCTGATGACCAACTGATCACTCATTCGTTACAACCAAAAAAATGGCATCTAACATCAGAAATTCTGCTGCAGCGATGGGCGTTACATGTCCTTGTATTCTTTAATCATTGATCTACAGAGTCCGGTATTAGTGCGTCGTAGCTCCTATAATAAAAAACTTAGGAATTTTGTTTAAGTGCAAACCAAAAGTATGTATTAGGATGTATTTCAGGAAAATATTTTAAGATCTACAGGATGGTCCAAAAAAGTGTGAGTGGATTGTGACCTTGTATATTATAGTATTTTTGGCTTCCTTTCTGATCACTTTACATAATCCTAAGATATTATTAAATATGTTTTGTGAGTTTCAAAGATATTAATAAATAAATAAAAAAAAATATTTTTTCAGCCCTTTTTTTAAAAAAATTATTAAAAATACAAGAAATGTCCTGAAATCAAAACTATCCTAGGTATTTACTATAGTTGGTCTGTACTTATTTTGTTATAAATATCGTAATATATTAAACCAAACAGGGTGTTCAAAATTCTAAGCCAAACTTTTTAAAATTTAAAATAGTTTTCTTACAACACCCTATATATTATTATTTTGTCAGATGGAGAATTAAAAGATGAACATTTTTTGTATTTACAGTATTTCAAAATTCTTAACTGTTTTGCGGATATTTATATTATATTACATAGTATGTGTTTTTCAACATTAATTTTTTATCAAATCCACCTAATGATTTTGGTCTCGTATTTTACCGTTGAAAATAATTATTATAGGAACTACAGATGCCCGACGCACTATTACCGGACCCTGTATTCAAGTGGAGAAATACACAATTTTTTTTCTGTTTATTTATGTGCCGAATCCAAAAAAAATATTGTTTTCTTTAATTTTCGACCTTCTAACAACTGTGCTGGAGTCCCCACAGACGCACAGTTCTTTAACACAGGCGGACTGTGCAGGCCAGTTCGCGCAATTTAACTGTGCAGTTTTACGCTAAATTTTTGCTTTTTAAGACTTTGTTTACTTATTTTTTTCTGAAAGAACTTCTTAAATTATTAGTCTTTTTAACAACTGCTTCCGAATCAATCTCCGTTAGTTTTATAACTATATCAAGTGTTCATAAGCTGGGATTTTTAATTCCTGTCAATAACTCTTATTTTATATTTACTATAAACATGGCATTATTTTATATAGTTTTTTTATATATTTCCTTCATAAGTATAAAAAAGAAATATAATACAAATATTTATTACTTTCTCTATGATACGTACCAGTATACCTGCACAAACCAGGTTTGCACAGGCGGCCTGAGCGATAAAACTGAGCGTCTATGGGGGCCTTTAAAGTAAAAGTTATACGAGTAAATAAAGACAAAATATAATTAGGATTCAGTGTAACATTACTTATATGCTTTGTAGCATATTCACTAATCAGACTTCACCAAAAGTTTAATAAAACCTCTTCAAAGAATATTATATTTAATTTATAAATAAGTTTTGATAATTAATGTAATACAGATATATATATATATATATATATATATATATATATATATATATATATATATATATATATATATATATATATATATATATATATATATATATATTTTATTAAAAAAATATTGCTCATGTTATTAAGTTCCTTTATTCTACCCCACTCTTTATTTTTGATTAATATTTCTCTCACTGTTTGAACTAACTTGATTTATAGACTTAGTACTGCTTTTTGACTTTTAGCTTTTTTGTCTTCCCAAAAGTTCAGAAATAAGTTATAGTTTATTGAAAAATAGTAATATTTTACATTGAAAAATATGTCGATTTCACAAATCATCATCATCGTCATTTTCAGCTTATTCAACCATTTTCAATTATGGTGTAGTTTCCCTCACATACTCTCTTTGTAGTTGGGCCCATTGTTGTCTACTGTTGGCTATGCGAGCTCAAGTTATCCCTGCTAATTTCCTAATATCATGGTCCCATCTCAGGTTCAGTCTTCCTCTAGCTCTCTTAATTCCTGGTGGGTAACATGCTGTAATTTTTGTGGTCCATCTGTTGTCCGTTCTTCTTGCCAGATGTCTTTTGCCGTATCCACTTTATTCTTTTACGGTCTATCTTGTTTATTCCCAGCATATTTCGTTCCATTGAGTATTGTGCGACCTGCAGTTTCCTTATGACGTCCGTTTTAAGTGTCCAGGTTTCGCATGCATATGTTATGACTGGTAGTACACATTGGTGGAACGTTTCCTTCTTTAGATAGAGTGGCATTCGAGATTTGAATATGATTCAGTTTCTTCTATAAGGGCTCGAACACACTGACGACCAGGTCGCACCGGCCAGGCCGCAGCTACCTCTGAAACCATTAAATCAAATGATATAGCGCACACTAACGTCCTGGCCGTCCGTTGGTCGTTGCGACCAGAAGACTGCACGGAAATATTATTATTTTCTGTCGCTTGTTGCCGGTTTTCTTCCAAATTAATAATTTTTCAGATAAAATCCCTCAAATTCAATGCACAATATTTTATTTTCTATAAGATATAGTGTTTTAGTGTAGTTTCTGCACACGTGCAGAAAATCCAAAGAAATAGTATACAGACTGGATCAAAGGTAAACTTAAATCTAATGCCTTTTTTTTATCAAAGGTCGATTCTAGTAAAAACTCAAAACATTTTTATATGACATACCAACTCTATTTATGGTTGGTATGATACCTGTTATTATACCTTTGAGTTTCGATATTTAAAAAATAAAAAAAAAATATATTTAAAGTTTTTCTACAACCACTTGTTTTTTTTATTAAATTAGTTTTTTTAGCTGTATTGTAGTCATGTACAAGGAGAACAACTGTATTTTAGATATGATATTTAATTTAACGTTTTTCAAACAGGGTTCATTAGACTATATTTCTACTAGGTACATTATTTTGGAAAAAAAATTAAGAAAGTAACTTAAACATTCATAAAAATAGAAGTAATTACTATTGTAGATTCTTCATTATATTGTAAACATTGAAATAACTGGAAGCTAAACTTTCTACCTGCTTATATTTAGAGCCAGTGTCATAAAGTAACACACACAGTTTGGTGTTACTTTATGGCCAGTGTCTGACGATCTTTTTTTACGATGGCCCTAATATGTTTACTTCTAAAGTCGATAAGGGCGCCATATCAGTAGAAAAAAGAAAAAGAATATCTCCCTTTGTGTCGGTCGCGCGTACACAATGCTTTTTGTTTGTTGTGAATAGCAACTTCGCTTTTTAGTTAACTCGGATATTTTAACATTTCTGAAACAATATTTTCTAATTGGTAAAACGTAAAAAATCGTTAGATTTGACAACTCTGTTAACTGGTCGTTCATCTGGCCGCAGCTAAAAACGCAATACATCCGGCCAGCCGACGGCCAGGTCGTTGCGACCTGGTCGTCAGTGAGTTCGAGCCCTAAGTACTCCATGCTAACTTAATCCTTCTGTTGATTTCTGGTAGTAGAGATCCCGCGCTGTGTTTCAGTTATCCCAAATATATATATTCTACTATTTCCAGTGTGTTATATATTATTTTTTTGAATCAACGCCAAGATGTCTTTGTGTGCTTCATAGATTATCAGTAGGCTTTCGACAACGTTAAACACGATATTCTCCTAAACAGACTGCTCGAGATAGGAATAGACGCCAAAGACATTAGAATCATACAGGAACTATGTTGGAACCAAACCGCGGAGATAAGAGTTAACAAAAATGTATCCACAGACACCTTCAATGTGTGTAAAGGAGTTCGCCAGGGTATATGTATACTGTCTATCACCAATACTTTTTAGTAGTAAAATGCTACATATGGCCCATCTTACTATACGGCGCAGAAACGTGGTCTCTCAAGGCTAGAACCCTGACCCGCATCGAGAAATTGGAGATGTGGACTCTCCGGAGACTCTTACGTATACCATGGACTGCACATGCCACCAACGAAGTAGTTTTAAGAACTGCAGGTTATGGACGAGAAATGCTTAATATAGTTAAAGAAAGAAAAGTTTCATACCTCGGCCATATCCTTAGAGGCGACAAATATTACATTCCTAAGCTGATTCTACAAGGAAAAATAGAGGGACGGCGAGGACCAGGAAGAAAACAACATTCCTGGCTAAGAAACCTACGGGATTGGTGTAACATCAGCGACGCAGCCACCATATTTCGAAGAGCCGAGGACGGCACTCTACACATTGTATTAAGAGTACAGACAATCGCCAACGTGCGGCTAAGCACAAGACACAGGAAGAAGAAGATATATTAGAATGTATTTTCTTTTCACTAGTTCGTTGTACATTACTTTAGTTTTTGCTAAATTCATTTTAAGACCCACTTTAATGCTGGCTGTATTTAGTTCACTAATTTGTGCTTGTAGTTTTTCAGGACTATTGGCAATTAGGACTATGTCTTCAGCGAATCTTAGATGGTTAAGATATTCTTCATCTATTTTTAATCCTTTGTTGGTCCAGTCCAGTTGACGGAAGGTTTCTTCTAATGTTGCTGTAAACAGCTTTGGGGATATCACGTCTCCCTGTTATACTCCTTTGCCAGTTGGGAACTGGGGGGTTGTTTTATATATCATTACTCTTGCTTTGGCTTCTTTCTTCTGTATATATTGGCGAGAGTTTCTCTATAAAGCTTGTCAATACCTTGTTTCGCTAGGGCTTCTATTATGGCCTTTATCTATTATTGGCTTTCACAAATAACAAAGTCAAAACTTGCAAATTTTCAAGAAGCAAAAAAATTGACAAAAAAATCACATTTGCTAAAAATTTTTGATAAATAATTTGTTTTAGCATCAATAACAATCATTAATCCTAAAATCCTCTAATATATAGTATTGCCAATTATATTAGTCATTGTTGGTCGCTCCGTATTTTAAATTTTGCTTATAAATGTTGAACCAAAACAAATCGATGTGTGGATGTGGTTAGTTCATCTTTTATAAATAACTGTGCTAATGACAAAATGTTCGCGAATTTAAAAACTATAAAGGCTTATCCGGCACAATCAGATATTTTTCTCCTTCTAACAGGATTCCCTTGTTCTCAAACTCAGTTAAAACAAAGTCCCTCTTGAAGAGTTTGTGTTTCGTTCTTGAGACTGGGGACTTGATTAAATATTTAAGGGCTTGGATGTAAAAGGGTTAAGCGAGGCCAGGTAGAGGGGACGAGGAAATTATTAGATAGCTCGTTGAAGG